TAGGGCTTGTAAAAGAAGTAGCTATCTTGGGTAGTTTATAGAGAGACTCAACAATCCATAAGTTTATAAGGCCAAATAACTCAACTATTCCAATATCAACACCTCCTTTTGTAGTCAGAAACTTGGAACTGCACAGAAAGACTAGCAGCTGTTCTAAGAAAGAAAAAGATATGAACAGCAAACACCTCAGCAAATTCAGATTGGGAGTTGAAGGTCTCTGAAGAATTCTAAAAGTCCTGAAACCAGAATAAAGCCTTCTGTTTCTGTGTTAAACTATTCCAGAAATACTAAGTCTATCACAACCTCATTATTCCTTATCTAGCAACATGCTACTAAAAGAAGCAACACTTATGACCAAAACTCAAAACTTCAGTTTCTCAAGATCTCAGATTATTTGTTTTATATTAGCAGCAAAAACAATTTGATAACCCGTAAAGGACATGCAGATTCCACTGCCTTTTTTGGTTAAAACAAGCTTCATAATTGTCAACAATGAATTATGCCAGATAATCTGTTTCAAAGACCTACTTAATACGTATTGATTGATGTATGTACTCTAATTCCACTACACATGACATTTCAGAATTACTTTCATTCTCAGTGACAACAAACCACATCATAAGCATTAACACCTGAGATTTTAATTTATAATGAATGTATCAAGCCAAAAGCAAGTAGAAGAAAGTGTTCTTGTGGAAATTCTTCAATATTTGAGGCTTTTAGTTATGTTCTGCTACACAGCTGGTGTAAATTAAATATGTGAATATGACCAGTTATGGTTGGTCATTTTTGTTGGTATAAGCAAATCCCTACCTACAACTAAATAGTACCAAAGGCTGATATTAAATTGCACTAGTCCTGCTCTGCTAATATTGCACAAAGAACTGTCCCAGCTTAGCAAGCTCCTCAGTGTCATGTCAACTAACTCCTCCACCATAATGAAAACACAGATGTACAGCAGTGTGATTTGAGAGATCTTCCAAGACTGGTAAAATGAAGATAAATGAAGAGTTTTAGCATCTGTCTGAGATAATAATACCAGGAACATAATCTGAGAACAGTTCTGGAATGAAACAATCTTGTATAAGAGGCAGGTTTCACCTGAACCTTAAAAGAATCGGGCTGGTGGCATATTCAAATCAAAAAGGTCACAAACAAGATTATACACCAAAGAATGAAAGAAATCCAGCAGGTGCAGAAGATGGCACAAAGCGTCAATGCTATTATAGATGAAGATGCAGAAGTTCTGTATCCTCAAAGCAATGGAGAACAGGAAATTGAAAGCCATTTTTATCATCTACTTGACTTACAGAAAGCACAATATCAAGGGAAAACATTGGCACAAATACCAGTACCTAACTAGTCTTTGTCTAAGAAGAAAATATAACAGTAATCAGGCTTCAGCTATTTCTGTTTGGACAAATATCCTAAATGTATGTAACACAGTAGCTATGTTTTTAGACCATACCTATGACTGTTTCATGGAACGACTGTTAGGGAAGCCACAAGAGAAGGCAATGAGACTCTTGGATGTGGGTTGCATGGAGGTTTCAGATTTTAAAATTTACTTGTGAGCAGTTTCCTTGTAACAGCAACCATAACATACTATATTAAACACTCCCACAGCTTTGCTGAAGGCTGAAAGTACTTACCTGCATGTAAAGTGAAAATTACTTAAGCATACAATACTGAAAAGCACAGGGTTCATACATACTGCCTGGCAAAAGAAAGCTTCATCCGCAAACAACACAGTAAGTGAAATTATTGAAAATAAGGGAAAATGTTACATAACACTAACATTGTGCCCAAATGATCAATGTCAGTATTAAAAAAAAAATACAAAAATCTAACAGATTTAACTGTAAAAAACAACAACAACAAAACCACGGTAGGACAGAGTTTGAAACGCAGCTGACACACGGAAGCAGAACTCATAATAAATCTTTCTTCAAATCCATCAGGAGAAGGAAGCCTGCCAGAGATTATGTAGGGCCAACTGATAAATGAGAAAAGGAACACTTAAAGAAGATACATCCATCTGCAGCAAAGCTAAATGACTTCTTGGTACTGGTTTCACTGAGGCCTCTCCAACAGGAGTCCTTCTCCTAAATGCTCAGTTAAAAAAAAAAAAAAAAAAAAAGTGACAAAATGAACTGTAACACATCACCAAACCAACTATTTTCACCCAAGAGTTCTGAAATGGACTTAAGGATGAAAAGGCTAAACTATAATCATCGTCTGTAGCTAAAATTGGCTTGGTATCTGATAACCTGAATAAAAATGTGACATCTGTTAAATAAATAAAAATATAACCAACAAAAAACACGTGCATTCAGGAAAGCTGCAGGGAACTACAGGCCTGAAAGCTTGGATTCTGTAATAGAAAATCAAGAGGAAGTGTAAGAAAGCAGACAAGGCATTACTATGATCTCTGGAAGGTTTTGAAGAAGCTGACTTGTAGATAACAACGTGGTTAATTTATGTTTATTTTGAAAAGTCTTTCACCAAATCCTCCATTAAATCTGTTAAGGAACCTCAAAAAACATGGTGAAAGACAACAGGTCTCTGAAGAGATAATTAAGAGAAAAGAATCAAAGAGATGCATTTGTAATCCTCTTTCTGAACAGTTGTATCTTTCCCAGATGACTCTAAACCAAACAAGTTTGAAAGCACAGGCAAGGACAGAGAAACTGGGGTAACGGTCAAGGGTTCAGTGTCAGAGGCAATACTTGAATTCAAAAGACAGTGACGCAATTTTTCCCCGTAAGAAATTAACATAGTGGACAACTGATACACATGGGAAAAAAGAAATGCACGTGTTTAAATACACTGGAACAATATATATAGCATGGAAACAGAAGAAGCATGAGAATAAGAATCAGCAACTGGAAGAGATGTTGGCTTTTAAGAACAGATCATCACTTTGAAATATCTCTGCTTCTTCATTCGTGAGATTAAATGACTAACTAAATCTCCTACTTGTAAGCATTCTTGACATTTCTTTCCAAACAGTTGGATTGAAAAATGACAACAGGGACTGACTTTTACCATCTTTTTTTCCAAAATCCTACCTTCTCTTCTTCAGAAAAGAATATTTTCAAGGAAGAAAAAAGATTACTGATGAGGGCGCTGACAAAACAACCTTCTTCGTCTGGAAGTCCCTCTGAGAAAAAAAAATATCACAAGTCTGAATTAAGTGTGCTTCTCATAGTCACTACCAGGGACAAGAAACTGGTTGGGACCCCTGGTCCAACCTAGTACAGATTATGCTCTTCGCATTCTTTGCGTCCAAGTGGAAATTAATCTACTTAGCATACCTACAAGTCTGATGAGTTTACAAAGCTTAAAAAAAAAAAAAAAAAAAGAAAAGTAATGAAAGACATACTACCAGTAAAATGAGGCAACTATCTCTATCAAGCATACCACTATAACAAATCAAACTTTACTCATCATAGAATCATAAATTTGGCTGAGAATTAAAAGTATATCAAACTGATGTTTAACTGAAAAGTTCCAAATTCTCACTAAGTGTCATTAACATGACTTTCCAACTACACCCCCTTCTGAGATTTCACAATAACGGATTTGTTAAAAAAACTTTCTATGTCATTACATCACCATTTCTATGTATAAATATATTTTTACATAGTTTTTAGCTTTAGTTTTGCAAAGACATTAATTTATAATCTTTTCTCACCTTGGTATCTGCTTATTTTCACAAAATTTACCTATTGGCAGACCAAGAAACAACTTTATTAGTAAACTGCAAGTGGAAAATGGCATACATGACAAGTAAATAGCCAAATTACCTTTTGAACAAACCTCAAGTAAACTAAATTCACCGTTCAATGCTAGTTTTTCCTTAAAGTACAATGCTAGTTTTTCCTTAAAGTACATGGCTCACTTTTAAACCAGGAATAAATCCACATTGGGAATAGGAGTACTTTATCGATCTTGAACACTTGTAACAGAGGTTAAAAAAATCTCAAACAGTACAATATCCATGGATTCAATTTGACAAAAAAAAAAAAGATACTGTGTCTGCACTAGCAGACACAGTATCATGATTACATCTGACATAAGACATAAAAAATATAGGAAATGAACATATATTTAAGCAGAAAAATCCACAATTTTGAATTTTTTTTTTTACATAAATACAAAAATTTGACACATGAAGCTCCGAGCAATCTATGCTTCCCCCTTCAATCTTTTCTAGTCTATTGTGAAATATCAGATCCTATGTTATGGTTACCTCTTCAGACAAAACATTCTGATGTTCATCATCCGTGAACTTCCTCTTTTGAAGATGTTATTCTTGTGACTAGCAATATCAAAATGAGTGAGGCAAAACGTTTACACATCCCCAGGGGAGAGGCTCAACTCAGCTTTTCAAGCTTTCCTAACCTTAGTCAGCAGGCTTGTGTGATAAACCCACACACCCAGTACTTTCTTGAAATAATTCTCAGGGGAAAAATGGGAGGGAATAGAAAAATCAAATCAAATAAATCAGCCAAGCAATGAGCACTTGACTCACGTCTAGGTTGACACCATATATTTTACCAGATTCCAATAATAGCTACATCATGTCTTTATACAACATCCAACATAGCCCAGCAAGCAGCGAAATCATGGAGATTCTAAGAGAATATACGTTTCTCAGACAAACAGGTAACTAGGCAAGGATTTTATCCCACAAAAAGCTAAATTAACTAGTATTAGCTTGCAAAGTCAAGAAATCAGACGTTAGTAACAGCAGGGTCGCACGCACCCTTAATCCATCGTGATAAAATACTACTAAGCCAAATTCCCCCAAGAAACCTGCCTCATTCACTATACAGGATGGTTTGTGCTCTCTGAATAGCGTAGTTGAATAACTTGTGGTGAGAAAATGCAACACATGGCAAGGAATCCTGAAAATCCCAAGACACGGTAAATTATATATGACAGGAGAATTAGGAAACTCTGGAAAAGAGCTTGGAAAAAAAAACCATTTTTGATATGATGGTATAAGCACTATCTACTTTTAATGTTAATTTTCAAGAAATATTCGAATAAAAGGGTGGATTTGAAAGATGACGTGAAGCTTTGTTTGATACATCCGTATGCTGTAGCCTGACAGTTTGGTCCCAGAAACAGTTGCCTTCTCTTGAAAATGGAGATAAGCTGCGGACAGACAGAAAGACATTTTTCAGCTACATATCCTTACATCCTTTTCTCATTTAGTGTAAGAAAATAATTGTGTCTAGGCTGTTAGAACAAGTTCAATCATCATCTTAAAACCATCAATTTATTAATGCAAAATGAAATTAATATGATTTTGATATTGATGCTTACCCTATCTTTGTCTAAATAAGTAGAGATATGTCAAAATGAACAGCTAGGCTGTACCTTCCCCTGATTAAAGTAAAAAAAAAAAAAAAAAATAATATATATATATATACAAACAAGCTGAAATATAAATATATTTATATAAATATACTTATACTTTATATTTATAAACATAAATATAAATATACAATATAAATATATTACAAACAAGCTGAAAGAAAAATAATGCATGCTAACAACTTTCAAGACATTATAGGACATGTAGCAGTTTCCTAAATATTTTTACTAAAATCTCTACAGAGCCATCAGAAGTTTTGCTGCTTGTCCAGTTGTCAGAGGGAGAACCTGTCCCGGAAAACGCTGTGCTAGACACACTAGTGTGATGCCATTTCTTTGAGGCGTAGTATTAACAATTGTTTAAGAAGTCAATAATAGATGTTCTGGTATGTTTTACATTAGAAAATTTCACCAGGCCAACACGAGAATTATTTTGTCAGACTGCTAATAAATGCCATTGCCTCAGTTTTGATCATAGATGATTAAGCTGCAAGTATTTTTTTATTGCCTTAGGCTAAAGTCACTTGGCACTGTAACAGCAAAAGCTAGGGAATTTTAGCTTACTAGAAGGTTTCCTGATAATTCTATTTTTCATGAACATGTTTACAGCTAACCATCAGGCTTTAAGATGCTTGCACAATCCTTTAACCTGTGCCCTACGCATGCACAATTCCACGTAATACAAAAGATTTAGAATCACCACCTTCAGAAAGCAGCAAGAAGACAGTTGCCAAACTTAAGCAAGGGGCAGCAGAAATGAAATTCATTAAATTTCAAGGAAAAAAGGCGTTTGTGCATGTTGTCGTCTCAAATGAACGAATAGCAACTCTTCTGACAAAAAAAACCCTAAAAGTTGAGTTGAAAAAGCCTCTGCACTGTGACTGAGACAGATTCTGCCTTTCCCCCCAGCCGCCACCACCACCAAGCACATACCTCTGGTGCTTCTTCCCTTTCTGCAGGTGAACCAAACCAGATGAAAACCAGTGGAAAAACATGGGACAGCCTTCCTAAAGGAAGCAACAAAAAGAACATAGTTGGAAAGCCTGGCCACCCTGATTTGCTTGAAAAGTGCAGACCCTTCACCGATACACTTCCAAGCTCAAAGCTCAAACATCACGATGATATTCATTAAAGAAACTGAAATTCTGCTGAAACTCGACAGGAGAGCAGAGGATGAAAAAAAAAATTCCTTTTGTCTGCTGACATTATTGCTTTATTATCTGACTGGCCTGTCACCAAAATCTTGTTTAGTCTAGCATCAAGTTTATCTTCTTCCCGTTGATTAAGACCTGGTACTCAAGCAGTAGACCCAGATGTAATCTAAAAATAGTATCCACTCTCAGGCATAAAGCTTAGAGAAAAAATGTATGTTGCAGTGGAGAAGAAACAAACACCTCAAAAATCTGAATAATGTTCAAATAGCTTCACATATATTAACAGAAATTTTATTCTTGGTCAAGCCTACAAAGAGCTGCACTCTTTATAGAAACTGATCAAGAAAATGCTGAAAATTAATTAATCTTTGACAAGGGCCCACATTTTCACTGGCATTTTGGAAGACTGTAATTTTGATGTGCTACAGGACTTTAGCCAGCACAAAGATTTGCCCAGAGAACAGTAACATAGTGGCAAAATAACAAAGATGAAGATAATGACCTTAAATAATGGTGATCACTAAGCCAAATGTTTCTGTCTTGGGAACTTGGGACCCTTTTGGGTAAGTGCAGATAGAAAAGCGGATTGGTTCTTCCAAATCTTAGAAATTCAGCAAAATTTAGGTTAGGGATCTGCTGATTTATAATTTATGATGATTTGCAAGTTGCAAAAAGACAGCAATTCCACATCTTTCATAATTACAGAATCACAGAATCATCTAGGTTGGAAGAGACCTCCAAGATCATCGAGTCCAACCTCTGACCTAACACTAACCAGTCCTCCACTAAACCATATCACTCAGCTCTACATCTAAGCATCTTTAAAGACCTCCAGGGACGATGACTCAAACACTTCCCTGGGCAGCCTATCCCAATGCCTAACAACCCTTTCAAGATATATGGCAGAAGTGAAAGAACTTACCATAAATGCACAATTATTCCCATCTTTTTACGTCCTTGTATGGGGGAAAGGGAAATTTTGCTTTGGGAAGCTTGCTAGTGTTGCTCATCTAAATAAAAATGGCATGATATTAGAAAAAATGCATTAGAAGTCCACAACTCTATACATCATTAATTCAAAACAAAACGTTATTTGTTCTGCCAGTCACGGAGGTATGACCAGTTGCACAAATCAGTATTGTTTCCATGCTGTAATGACATTTGTATCCTAGAGAGAGCTGGACTCAGCAGTTTTATCTGCAATAACTGTGTGTAATAAACTACACATATATAACAACAATTTGATTATGAGGATTATTGCTCAAACTCTTCTGTTTATTTCATTGGAATTATTAGTGCTAATCATATCCAACCGTGTGTGGCTATTCTCTCTTTGCACACACTTCATGGGATCTGAGCTGGTTTTCCTCATTTACCTACAAATCACAGTGCCATGTGCCCAAGAGGTTTTCATGCCAGTGCTGTTAGCAGAGAGACAAATCTCCATTAATATTTCCTTTCAATGCCCACAGCGTGGTTCGGCCCTGAACTAAGAAGAGTCAATAGCTAGAGTAATCCCACAGTTCAGAGGCTGAAACACTGACAGCATAATTCCATTGCTATACAACTTCCACATGGGGAAGGAAAGAAACTTTTGGCACAGACAGCGTACTTTCCAGAGTAAAAATTTCATCATTTACTTCTCCCCTTTCAATTCTACGCAGAGTTACCAAGCCTGCTATGCTTGGACAACTGCCTGGTGGTTTACTCAGCCTGAGGTAAGCAGGGGGTGCTTCAAAGCTCATCCAGATCCACTTGTGATACCATAGTGATAGTTTATTTTCTACATAAAGCACCACTGCCTATTTCTGCAGTTGATTCTTTGAGGATTTTATACTCACTGAATCTCTGTCTTCCTCCAGGAGGTCGATTAGAGGAGAAAATACAAAAATCTTTTTTTTTTTTTCTACTGTGGCAGAGACTCAGACACACAATATTTGGCACAGTTGTACTTCAAAAAAATCCCAATGTGGACGTAGTTTTACTGGCAAACAAATACTAGTTAATGTCACATTTTGCTGAATTAGGCTGAGCAGTTTTTCAATGATTTATACTTTTTCCATTGCTACAAGGTTTCAGCAGTCCAACAATTTTCCTAACCCAACTGTCCTTAAAATAAATAAGCCCTTCAGCAACAGAAAACAAGCCTGAAGTCAGGCCCAGATCCAGGGTAAAATTTACACCATTTAAAGTCACTTCCTTCAAGAGATGGCAGGACAGAGGGTGTCCTCATTTAACACAACATCCCTATATCTCCATTTCTGGTTTCAAGCTTTGTGTTGGAATTATTTTATTTGGGGGAATACAGTAATGATTTCCTCACATAATGTAAGTATTTCCACATCATAAGCCTTTTCACACAGAAACTTCCTGAATATTTGAAGTGGCTGAGAGTTCCCAAATTCCAAAAGAAACAAGATGACTCCCTCCCAATCTTGCCCAGTATATTTTTCAAGGAAAAACACAGGTGCAAAACTGTCAATAGACTTTCGCCTGCAGGCTAAATGGCAGTGAGTGCTGAAAGCAAGCAGAATGCATACAAATAGCTTGCATTTTTGTCTGACTTCATACTGTCTAGGACTTTAACCAATACATTAAAAAAAAAAAGAAAAAAAAAAAAGAAAAGGACTTTCATTTAAGGGTATTTCTTTCTACAGAGAAGGAGAAAAGATGGTGAGGATGAGCAGCATTCGTGTTGTTGTTCTTCTCTCATGTAGACAGGACTTGAAGCAACTACAAACTCCCACTTAGAGAGTATTCTGTACATGTGTACACTTTCATATGCACAAAAGCTAGTAACATGTTTCAACTGCTTACAACAAGGAAAAACAATTGACAGCTGTGCCAGCACTTAATTTTGGATAGACAAAGCCTCTTTAAGTCTTCTGTGAACTTCAGTGAAACCTTCTAGCCATAGAGCAATAAAATAAAATTGTCGGTCTTGAGAGAATGAAAAATCATAAACAATATTACATTCTGATCGTTCACTTGCATTAATTAATCACAGAATCACAGAATGGCTTGGGTTGGAAGGAACCTTACAGATCCTCTAACTCCAACACCTCTGCCATAGGCAGGAATGCCACCCACTAGATCTAGTTATGGTACTAAAAGTATACATGCCAAATATGAAATTGCCATCCTTCAGCACCTAGTATATGCAAGCTACTCCAAAAAACAACTAAAATTCTAATAACCAAAGGAATAAATTGAAACTGTAAAGCAGTTTATGGAGCAATATCGTAATAGGTTATGGAAATAAAAGCTCTGCTGCTCACAAAGCAGCTGAAACTATCTTAAGATAAGCCACTTCAAAGTTGCCAGAACAGACAAAGGGTTAACCTGCTCAATGACAGAAATTAGTGGTGATGAATTGGTGGCACAGCTGAAACCCAATTAATGACAATGCAGAATTTATATTCTTAAACACTGTCCTGGTCAAAAATGTTTTAAAAACCCTTGTCCTGGCCTTCTGTTATAAAGAACGGGGTGGCGGTGATGGAGAAATTACCAATTCTGAGCAATTTCTTTATTCAAGCTGTGGCTTGAATCGTTCACTGACAACATGAAATAATAAACGCAGTTACTGGTCAGTCTCCACATCGTTACTGGAAAAGCATCTCAAAGAATTCAGAAGTGTGGCCTGCATCTCACCTACCTAGACAGCCAAGGAGAGGGCACATAACCTAACACAACACTGAGCTTGACACACACTAACCAAACTCTTGGCACAAACTTTTGGGCTTCATTTCTTCCCCAAACCACAGGAACACCAAGCACCAGCCCTTCCAAAATTAACTTGAATGTATTGTGAGAAACACCATTCACGTTTTTCCTTGAATTTAATCACACAAACCCAGCTGAGAACAACATCCCCATCATCTCATCTCCTCTGGCCACGACTTGTACTAACTCTGCAGTCAGTACTCAACAGCCTGCCTTGCCCTGGTTCGCAGTCAGTACAACGCAGTCTAGCACAGGGCTGCTACTACAAATGGAAAATCTCCAATTCCCAGGGGCACGTGCAATGTGTGGCTCAGGTCACACCCTTACTGACATAGTACACTGTGTTCAAAGGCTCACAGCTTCTTCAAACACCACTTCCCCCTCAATGCGTGCCAAAATAACAATCCCAAAAAGCCACCACCCACATGAACTTTTAAACTTTTTTCAAAAGAGCGTATTTACTACTAAACCTTTGTCTTGCCTATTTCTAAATGACTGGAAAAAAAAAAAAAAAGCTGAATTAAACCAGAATGCAAGATGCAAGACCTAAGACAATTATACTAACTGGATTAGATTTAAATGCATAAAGTGAAACTGAATACCATTAATATCAAACCAAAATATTCAATACTTCAAAACCTACTTTCAGCTATTTAGAGGACTGTTATTTGTAAAAGTCTGCCCACCTTTCTTCCAAGTTAAATATCCAGATACCTGTCTCTCCAAGGAGACTAAGGAAACTAGAAGCATCTTTCTGCAAATAAAATAAATAAATAAATAAATAAGGCAACAAATAATATCAATGCAATTTTTACAGTGGAAGGAAGTCATTAATTTACCATGTGAATCTACCTGTGTTTCAGCTTGAAGCTCAAAATACACTAATTAGTTTTGAAAAAAGAGACAAAAAGCATTGTAGCAAGTGTTTTGATGACTTCACTATGCTAATCAGCAAAATGATGGTTGATTGAGTAATCAAAATAATTAGGAAAGAAACAGACAACAAAAGAAAGAATAACATAAATATATCACGTATAATTCAGGGCATAACAACACAACTCTTCTCAGTTCACATCCTTATTCTGTGAAATGTGTTCATATGATTCGTGTCAATATGGAATAATGCTAGGGCTGCACGGTATGATGAATGTGACCTTCTGTCCTACAGACCCTTGTATAACCACAAGTCGAAGAAAAACAGAGTGGTTACTGTATATAGTTCTTGTATGTTGCAAAGGAATGTTTTAGCAAGTCGTGTCAATAGAGAACTTGAAGGGAAACGTAGTTGTAGGCTTTTCCTTGAAGTCTCTGATATCTGGAGGGTTCAGAATAACTGCTAACTATTATGACTATTGCATAGGACACTACGCAAGTCTCTGATATCTGGCCAGGAGCTTAAGTAGACGGGGAAAGCTGAAGAACGACTAAAAGACAAAGCTTGCAGGGGACGCTGCACAAGTCTCTGACATACAGCCAAGTTGGACAAAGGAAAAGGACAAGAGGGAGGAAGACTATGAGCCTTCAGCATGAAGACTCCCCGTGCACCCAGCACTCTTTACGTGCCTTTTATTAACCCCACAAATAAACCTCATAAAGCTAAGTTGACTCAGAATTTATAACAGTATGGTGAAAACTGTTGCACTCCAAGTTGGGAAGGGGAGAGGAAAATGTTCATGTATATGTGAGAATTGTACTCAAACAGCTGATTACACCTCTGCATACACCTTTTAAGGGAAAACTTTAAACCTGAGAAGCAACAGGCAGTCTTCTACGTTTCCTGATATGATAGATGATATAGGTATGATATCAAAGGATGATATCATACCTATAGTCTGCTGCAGGCTGAAAAGTAGCCTGTGCCTCAGGTACCGTTTCATGCCTTTGCTTTTGTTACTACATCCCTGTAAGTCTTCAAAAGGGAAATGAAATTATCCTACCGAGAAGAAACACCGTCCAGAAGACACTTGAGTTGTTAGGGCCTGAATTCTCAACGAAACCAAAGGCAGGGATCTTACTGACCTGGAGAAAGAGGCTTTAATCTCTCCTGGCTTGTTTACTCCTGAAGGAGCGTGAAAGAGACGCGTGTCCTTGTACGTGAAGAGGAGGTGAAGGAACAGCTAGTGCAAGGAATGCACAAATCCGTTGCGCCAGACTAATAGCTGGTTGGCTCTGAGCTGGGAGACTGCAACAGAAAAACAGAATTATCTAGGTTGGAAGAGACCTCCAAGATCACCGAGTCCAACCTCTGACCTAACACTAACCAGTCTCCAACTAAACCATATCACTGAGCTCTACATCTGAATGTCTTTTAAAGACACCCAGGGATGGAGGCTCAACCACTTCCCTGGGCAGCCCACTCCAATGCCTAACAGACCTTTCGGTAAAGAAGTTCTTCCTAATATCCAACCTAAACCTCCCCTGGCACAACTTCAGGCCATTTCTCCTCGTACTGTCACCAGGTACACGGGAAAACAGACCAACCATCACCTCGCTACAGCCTCCTTTAAGGTACCTGTAGAGAGCGATAAGGTTGCCCCTGAGCCTTCTCTTTTCCAGGCTGAACAATCCCAGAGAAGGAGGAGGGAGGGCGAGTGAACGGCTGTGTGGTGCTTAGCTGCCGGCCGGGGGAAACCACGACGACAGCAATGTAGTCCTGTAACCAAATTAAAGCCTAAACTTTCAGCCTGGTCCTTGACCTGAACAGGGAGTGAGGATCCAGATCCTGGCATTTATACGTGATAGTTTATATGCAGCCTAAGTAAATACTGCAGTCGGAGGTCATGGCGCTAGATTTTGAAAAGTCTGGCATAAAGAAGAGATCTCAGAAAAGCAAATTTAAACAACATTAATGTCAAGTAAAGTCTTTCTGATTGCTGTATTCTTTATCTGTCGTGACTAGACAGATGAAAATCTATGACAGCAATTTTGCCTTTAAGGTCATTTCTTTTTCTTTATTTCTTTTATTTACATTGATTTATCTTATTTTAACAGACTCTGTACTAATTTTCCTCACAGAATGACTAGCAGAAATACGACCCTTATATGCCTTTCGTAATTAATTAATTAGGTCAACTCTAACCACTAAGCAGCTTGTCAGCTTATTTCTATTAGCGATAAGGAGCAATTGAACCTAAAACACAGAAGCCAGGTTGATGAGCCTATTCCACAAGGTCTCATGACTCCACACATGTGAAGTGAAATCTGCCAGCTGGAGATCATTTGACCTTTGCTATATAATAAGCATGAGGAATGATGGGAAGAACTGCCACTCCAGGAGAGTTTGAGGTTTAGACTACCTAAGTTGCTTTTCTAGGGTTCTGCTGAAACAGACTCAGTATTTCAGAGTAGGCTGCTTTTTCTTCACGTTTTCTACCATTTCTACGATATAGCTTTGGAGACTCTATGAACAGGTAACATCGGGGGTGACTACTCAGAAAAGGAAAACCCTGATGATGCTACTGCCCCATGAAGACGTTCGGCAGTGACTCAAATTTGGAAACAAGCAGGTAAGCATTCATGGGTCCTACAGTGGTTTTGTGTTTGGGAGCTTGAGCACTTGCTTTACCTTGTGAGGCGTCGGCAGGGTCCGCGGCGTCAGCAGGGTCCGCGGCGTCGGCAGAGTTTAGAAAAAAGAGACAAAAAGCATTATAGCAAGTGTTTTGATGACTTCTACGATATAGCTTTGGAGACTCTATGAACAGGTAACATCGGGGGTGACTACTCAGAACAGGAAAAGCCTGATAATGCTACTGCCCCATGAAGTCGTTCAGCAACGACTCAAATTTGGAAACGAGCAGGTAAGCATTCATGGGTCCTACAGTGGCTTTGTGTTTGGGAGCTTGAGCACTTGCTTTACCTTGTGAGGCGTCGGGCAGGGTCCGCGGCGTCGGGCAGGGTCCGCAGCGTCGGCAGGGTCCGCGGCGTCGGCAGGGTTTTGAAAAAAGAGACAAAAAGCATTATAGCAAGTGTTTTGATGACTTCTACGATATAGCTTTGGAGACTCTATGAACAGGTAACATCAGGGGTGACTACTCAGAACAGGAAAACCCTGATGATGCTACTGCCCCATGAAGTCGTTCAGCAACGACTCAAATTTGGAAACGAGCAAGTAAGCATTCATGGGTCCTACAGTGGCTTTGTGTTTGGGACCTTGAGCACTTGCTTTACCTTGTGAGGCGTCGGACGAGTGGGGGGCGCAGCCCCGTCGGACGAGTGGGGGGCGCAGCCCCGTCGGACGAGTGGGGGGCGCAGCCCCGTCGGACGAGTGGGGGGCGCAGCCCCGTCGGACGAGTGGGGGGCGCAGCCCCGTCGACGAGTGGGGGGCGCAGCCCCGTCGGACGAGTGGGGGGCGCAGCCCCGTCGGACGAGTGGGGGGCGCAGCCCCGTCGGACGAGTGGGGGGCGCAGCCCCGTCGGACGAGTGGGGGGCGCAGCCCCGTCGGACGAGTGGGGGGCGCAGCCCCGTCGGACGAGTGGGGGGCGCAGCCCCGTCGGACGAGTGGGGGGCGCAGCCCCGTCGGACGAGTGGGGGGCGCAGCCCCGTCGGACGAGTGGGGGGCGCAGCCCCGTCGGACGAGTGGGGGGCGCAGCCCCGTCGGACGAGTGGGGGCGCAGCCCGTCGGACGAGTGGGGGGCGCAGCCCCGTCGGACGAGTGGGGGGCGCAGCCCCGTCGGACGAGTGGGGGGCGCAGCCCCGTCGGACGAGTGGGGGGCGCAGCCCCGTCGGACGAGTGGGGGGCGCAGCCCCGTCGGACGAGTGGGGGGCGCAGCCCCGTCGGACGAGTGGGGGGCGCAGCCCCGTCGGACGAGTGGGGGGCGCAGCCCCGTCGGACGAGTGGGGGGCGCAGCCCCGTCGGACGAGTGGGGGGCGCAGCCCCGTCGGACGAGTGGGGGGCGCAGCCCCGTCGGACGAGTGGGGGGCGCAGCCCCGTCGGACGAGTGGGGGGCGCAGCCCCGTCGGACGAGTGGGGGGCGCAGCCCCGTCGGACGAGTGGGGGGCGCAGCCCCGTCGGACGAGTGGGGGGCGCAGCCCCGTCGGACGAGTGGGGGGCGCAGCCCCGTCGGACGAGTGGGGGGCGCAGCCCCGTCGGACGATTGGGGGGGCGCAGCCCCGTCGGACGAGTGGGGGGCGCAGCCCCGTCGGACGAGTGGGGGGCGCAGCCCGTCGGACGAGTGGGGGGCGCAGCCCCGTCGGACGAGTGGGGGGCGCAGCCCCCCGTCGGACGAGTGGGGGGCGCAGCCCCGTCGGACGAGTGGGGGGCGCAGCCGACGTTGGGGGGGGCTAAGCCCGTCCGGACGAGTGGGGGGAGCGCAGCCCCGATCGGACGAGTGGGGGGCGCAGCCCGTCGGACGAGTGGGGGGCGCAGCCCGTCGGACGAGTGGGGGGCGCAGGCCCGTCGGACGAGTGGGGGGCGCAGCCCAGTCGGACGAGTGGGGGGGGCCGTCGTACGAGTGGGGCGCAGCCGTCGGACGAGTGGGGGGCGCAGCCCCGTCGGACGAGTGGGGGGGCGCGCCCCGTCGGACGGAGTGGGGGCGCAGCCCCGTCGGACGAGTGGGGGGCGCGCCCCGTCTGACGAGTGGGGGGGGCAGCCCGTCGGACGAGTGGGGGGGCGCAGCCCGTCGGACGAGTGGGGTGCGCAGCCCCTTCGGACGAGTGGGGGCGCAGCCCCGTCGACGAGTGGGGGGCGCAGCCCGTCGACGAGTGGGGGGCGCAGCCCCGTCGGACGAGTGGGGGGCGCAGCCCCGTCGGACGAGTGGGGGGCGCAGCCCCGTCGGACGAGTGGGGGGCGCAGCCCCGTCGGACGAGTGGGGGGCGCAGCCCCGTCGGACGAGTGGGGGGCGCAGCCCCGTCGGACGAGTGGGGGGCGCAGCCCCGTCGGACGAGTGGGGGCGCAGCCCCGTCGGACGAGTGGGGGGCGCAGCCCCGTCGGACGAGTGGGGGGGCGCAGCCCCGTCGGACGAGTGGGGGGCGCAGCCCCGTCGGACGAGTGGGGGGCGCAGCCCCGTCGGACGAGTGGGGGGCGCAGCCCCGTCGGACGAGTGGGGGGCGCAGCCCCGTCGGACGAGTGGGGGGCGCAGCCCCGTCGGACGAGTGGGGGGCGCAGCCCCGTCGGACGAGTGGGGGGCGCAGCCCCGTCGGACGAGTGGGGGGCGCAGCCCCGTCGGACGAGTGGGGGGCGCAGCCCCGTCGGACGAGTGGGGGGCGCAGCCCCGTCGGACGAGTGGGGGGCGCAGCCCCGTCGGACGAGTGGGGGGCGCAGCCCCGTCGGACGAGTGGGGGGCGCAGCCCCGTCGGACGAGTGGGGGGCGCAGCCCCGTCGGACGAGTGGGGGGCGCAGCCCCGTCGGACGAGTGGGGGGCGCAGCCCCGTCGGACGAGTGGGGGGCGCAGCCCCGTCGGACGAGTGGGGGCGCAGCCCCGTCGGACGAGTGGGGGGCGCAGCCCCGTCGGACGAGTGGGGGGCGCAGCCCCGTCGGACGAGTGGGGGGCGCAGCCCCGTCGGACGAGTGGGGGGCGCAGCCCCGTCGGACGAGTGGGGGGCGCAGCCCCGTCGGACGAGTGGGGGGCGCAGCCCCGTCGGACGAGTGGGGGGCGCAGCCCCGTCGGACGAGTGGGGGCGCAGCCCCGTCGGACGAGTGGGGGGCGCAGCCCCGTCGGACGAGTGGGGGGCGCAGCCCCGTCGGACGAGTGGGGGGCGCAGCCCCGTCGGACGAGTGGGGGGCGCAGCCCCGTCGGACGAGTGGGGGGCGCAGCCCCGTCGGACGAGTGGGGGGCGCAGCCCCGTCGGACGAGTGGGGGGCGCAGCCCCGTCGGACGAGTGGGGGGCGCAGCCCCGTCGGACGAGTGGGGGGCGCAGCCCCGTCGGACGAGTGGGGGGGCGCAGCCCCGTCGGACGAGTGGGGGCGCAGCCCCGTCGGACGAGTGGGGGGCGCAGCCCCGTCGGACGAGTGGGGGGCGCAGCCCCGTCGGACGAGTGGGGGGCGCAGCCCCGTCGGACGAGTGGGGGCGCAGCCCCGTCGGACGAGTGGGGGGCGCAGCCCCGTCGGACGAGTGGGGGGCGCAGCCCCGTCGGACGAGTGGGGGGCGCAGCCCCGTCGGACGAGTGGGGGGCGCAGCCCCGTCGGACGAGTGGGGGGCGCAGCCCCGTCGGACGAGTGGGGGGCGCAGCCCCGTCGGACGAGTGGGGGGCGCAGCCCCGTCGGACGAGTGGGGGCGCAGCCCCGTCGGACGAGTGGGGGGCGCAGCCCCGTCGGACGAGTGGGGGGCGCAGCCCCGTCGGACGAGTGGGGGGCGCAGCCCCGTCGGACGAGTGGGGGGCGCAGCCCCGTCGGACGAGTGGGGGGCGCAGCCCCGTCGGACGAGTGGGGGGCGCAGCCCCGTCGGACGAGTGGGGGGCGCAGCCCCGTCGGACGAGTGGGGGGCGCAGCCCCGTCGGACGAGTGGGGGGCGCAGCCCCGTCGGACGAGTGGGGGGCGCAGCCCCGTCGGACGAGTGGGGGGCGCAGCCCCGTCGGACGAGTGGGGGGCGCAGCCCCGTCGGACGAGTGGGGGGCGCAGCCCCGTCGGACGAGTGGGGGGCGCAGCCCCGTCGGACGAGTGGGGGGCGCAGCCCGTCGGACGAGTGGGGGGCGCAGCCCCGTCGGACGAGTGGGGGGCGCAGCCCCGTCGGACGAGTGGGGGGCGCAGCCCCGTCGGACGAGTGGGGGGCGCAGCCCCGTCGGACGAGTGGGGGGCGCAGCCCCGTCGGACGAGTGGGGGGCGCAGCCCCGTCGGACGAGTGGGGGCGCAGCCCCGTCGGACGAGTGGGGGGCGCAGCCCCGTCGGACGAGTGGGGGGCGCAGCCCCGTCGGACGAGTGGGGGGCGCAGCCCCGTCGGACGAGTGGGGGGCGCAGCCCCGTCGGACGAGTGGGGGGCGCAGCCCCGTCGACGAGTGGGGGGCGCAGCCCCGTCGGACGAGTGGGGGGCGCAGCCCCGTTCGGACGAGTGGGGGGGCGCAGCCCCGTCGGGACGAGTGGGGGGCCAGCCCCGTCGGACGAGTGGGGGGCGCAGCCCGTCGGACGAGTGGGGGGCGCAGCCCCGTCGGACGAGTGGGGGGCGCAGCCCCGTCGGACGAGTGGGGGGCGGCAGCCCCGTCGGACAGATGGGGGGCCAGCCCCGTCGGACGAGTGGGGGGCGCAGCCCCGTCGGACGAGTGGGGGGCGCAGCCCCGTCGGACGAGTGGGGGGCGCAGCCCCGTCGGACGAGTGGGGGGCGCAGCCCCGTCGGAACGAGTGGGGGGCCGCACGCCCCGTCGGACGAGTGGGGGGCGCAGCCCCGTCGGACGAGTGGGGGGCGCAGCCCCGTCGGACGAGTGGAGGGGCGCAGCCCCGTCGGACGAGTGGGGGGCGCAGCCCCGTCGGACGAGTGGGGGGCGCAGCCCCGTCGGACGAGTGGGGGGCGCAGCCCCGTCGGACGAGTGGGGGGCGCAGCCCCGTCGGACGAGTGGGGGGCGCAGCCCCGTCGGACGAGTGGGGGGCGCAGCCCCGTCGGACGAGTGGGGGGCGCAGCCCCGTCGGACGAGTGGGGGGCGCAGCCCCGTCGGACGAGGGGGGGGCGCAGCCCCGTCGGACGAGTGGGGGGCGCAGCCCCGTCGGACGAGTGGGGGGCGCAGCCCCGTCGGACGAGTGGGGGGCGCAGCCCCGTCGGACGAGTGGGGGGCGCAGCCCCGTCGGACGAGTGGGGGGCGCAGCCCCGTCGGACGAGTGGGGGGCGCAGCCCCGTCGGACGAGTGGGGGGCGCAGCCCCGTCGGACGAGTGGGGGGCGCAGCCCCGTCGGACGAGTGGGGGGCGCAGCCCCGTCGGACGAGTGGGGGGCGCAGCCCCGCTCCGAACACTTACCTGTCACTTCCCAGATCCTCCTTCCTACCTTTTTTGAAGACCAGCATGACGCTGGCTTTCCTCCAGTCTTCAGGCACCTCACCCGTTCTCCAGGACCTTTCAAAGATGAAAGAGAGAGGTTCAGTGATCACATCTGTCAGCTGGAGACCTGTAGTAGACCCCCACCACAGTGTCTCCCCTACCAGCCCACCCCTTAATTGTTACTCGCAAGCTCTCCGCCTGTCAATCACCCTCCCCCAGCTGGAACTGGGTACCTTCTAATTGCTCCCTCACATAAAGGG